ACACGGTTTGAATGGCCTTTCTCCTTTCCCCTTCCCAGCCTCTCCTCCATCTACACTGAGTGTTTAGTGCTGAAATTTTGATGTGACATCCATTTCCATACTGGTACACAGCAGTGGTCCAAACATACAATTATATCTTCAGAGCAGGATGAAGCACAAGCAGCTGTTTTAATAAGGGTTTTCTTTCTCTCCTCCCACAGCTGAAATAAGAGCAAAGGGAATACAGAAAATGACTGCCCAAGGAAATTGTTTTTTTATAAATGTTCCCTTCTCTCAAGTTTATTCCAGGGCAATAGCCCTGCTATGGCATAGGAGAACACACCAGCATTAAGAAGTAATTATTCCAGAGGCTTAGGTTCACCCTGCATCCCTGTGCGTGGAGGTGATGCATAGGTGGGCTGGAGCTGCTGCGTGGAATCGGCTCGGCACCATTTCTCTTCTGCTTTGTCGTACGTATCCTCATTACAGCTTGCTGATGAGGGCTGGTAATGAGATGAGTTACCTGGGATTGGACTCGGTACAGCAGTCAGCTAATCGTCAGCTCCTGTGCAGAGACATCGCTCATGGAAATGCATTTTCTCACCGCGCTCAGGCACTTCTTGTGCACAATGTGAGACGAGCGCGAGTGCTGCCTGAGAAACAGCCTCGCTGGGGTGGCGGTGGCTGCCGCTGGGCCCACCCGCAGCAGGGGGCAGAGCTCAGAGCGGTGAGCAGCACGTGCTGCTGCCCGAAGGAGGGACAGAAGGTACACTGGGGCTGCAGCAGGCAAACTTCTTGGAACAAGTATCCTCGCTGCTAGCGGGCAGCTCCTGGTGCTGCAGCGGGCTGCAGAGCACCATTTCCCAACCATGGTCTGCACTCTGCGCAGGGAGTGAAAAGGCTTCAATTGATTTCAGGGTGCCAAAAAAAGGAGGGAAGGCACAAGAGCTCTTTCAGCACAGTGCACGATTAAATCTTGGGCTTGTTCATGTTGAGACAATCTGCTCTTGCTGCTACTAAAATCTGACTTAGTTCTGTAATTAAAATACTGCATGTAAATAATATTGATACGTACAACAACTGACCTTCGCCACTCATTGTGATTTTCAGGTGTTCGAGGAATTGTGGAAGGGAGAAGGAAAGACGCCTCTTGAAATCGTTAAAGAAAAGAAGCTTCAACTGCTAGAGGATCGAGAGGAGCTGGAACAGATCTGCCAAGCAGTGATTGATGAACACGAAAAGGAGGTGATTATGGTGGTGCTGGAAAGCTCGGGCGCTGTGTTAGGCTATGGCACTAAAAAGGAGGGGATTAAAATGGCCTTTTCTCTTTTAATTGCTATTTGAGATCTAGAGCCAGTATAGCAGCATTAAAGCTGCGGCACAGCTATGATCATGTCTTTTCTTCTCCTTTCTTATTTTACTAAGTGTTTCTTTGGAAATTGAAGCTTACACAAAATGATCAGCAGAAGAAATTACCAGTCTGGCTAATGTGCTAAGTCATTCTATGAAACCATAAAAATTTAATGCAAGGAAGCCAAGCTACGGGGCTTTCCTTCTGTCTTCACCTATGCAGTGTACTGGCCTTAACCTGACCTCACCATTTGGCCACGTAATTCTCGTTATGTCATTTCTTGAGATATTAGAGCAACAGCACTACGCTGTTCTGAATCTGAAGACTGAGGCTATCCACCAGCAAGGCATATGTTACGGGATTAGAGACAGTATCAGAACTGGCAGGGCCAAAACTTCACTTGTTTCTGTCTCTTCTCTGTGTCCCCACCTTCCCTCAGTGCCAGAGGCAAGCCTCGCTTGCTGTCCTGCCTGGCGCTGTCTATGGGGTGGGGAGGAGCCAGCCCCATGTGGCAGCAGCACCTGTGGGTTCAGGGGGCTGCGTGTGCTGCAACAGGGCTGCTGTCAGCTCTGCGGGCCTGTGCCTGGGCTGTGGCAGCAGCACAAGTGCTGCAGTGTGTTCAAGACAGGGTTTCAGCTTTTCCCCATCCCCATCAAAGGACGTGCAGCAGCTTGTGTGGCCATCAGGCTCACATGCTCTGAGCCAGGAAAAGGGGAAAAAGTACGGGTTGATCTTGAAGGGGAGGAGTGGGAAGGAATCCTGACAGAGTCTAACATCTGCTTTATAAAAAAACAAAATGAAAACAAGTGCTTAGATGTACTGTGGAGAGAAAATGTAAAGGCAGAAGTGAATAGCTTGCTTCTACTATAAACATTGTCTAGATACATTTGCCATTTGGAAAAAAGACATTAACATCTTTTGAGAACAATACCACCCACCCCAGATCTCATTGGGGGATGCTAACAGCTCCGCAAGAGCTTTTGATAAAGAAAATGAGCTTGCAGTAGGTCGGCGTGACCTCCATCAGACTGACTTATTTGCAGAGCCTGATAAAAGTGCTCCTGTATTTTCTGACTAGAGCAGAAGCACAAGTGTGGATAGAAAGAACATTACAACTGATTGGGAAGTGCAGAAGCTGAAGGTCCATAACTATACTCCCATTTCAATAATAATGCCTTGCCTGAGAATGTAATTCCTCTCTGCTTTCCCCTGTTTGAGGCAAGCCAAATGCAGGAGAATGGGCTCACTTTCCTCCTTTTTCCAGATGATCTTTCACTACAGCAACAGCTGCCTTGAAGCCCTGTAATTCACTACTTCAAATTGCTGCGAGAGCTTGCATGACAAAATAGTTAGCCGAGGACTTGTCAGGGGAAAAAAGTATGCCTTGCTTTCTGATAGCAACTTCCTTTAAAAAGAACTAACCTAGACAAAGTTGTTCAAAGCGACACCAAGCAGTTCATGAAAACACAGCATCCAGGCTGTACCGTACTCTCCCCTGTATAAGGAATTCCTAGCATGGAAGGCATAATGAATCCTTTCCATACTGTGACGACACCATGAAGACTTTAGCCTGCCAATAATTCAGATACCCTAATGAGCAGCAGTATTTGCATTTGCGCTCAGCATTGTCACAGTTGGTGGTTCATATGTTAGCCATCCTTCCCTTAATGTCTGTAAATACAGCATCCTGGTTAATTGAAGTTATCGTGGTTTGCCCAGTAATTCTGACAATGTAAGGAATGTCTTCCTGCCACTCAAACAGTATGAAGACCAGAAGCTTGTGTTTCAGCAGTAGCATCTCGCTTAGAAATGTCCAAAAGTAATTTTTTCAATGCTTTTTTCCACAGCTTCTTTACTTAAGTTTTAAACATGGCCCTGATATTTTGCAGGTAATTGTGCACCGAAACCCACCTCCCTGACAGGAGGCCATATTTGCTTTTTGTAAAGGATTCCTTGCTTAAAGGAAACAACATGCTGTTACCAAACCACCCGAGTCTGCTCTTGGAGGACCTCACAAATATCAACTAGATTGTGATTGGATACAAATTATTATACCTGACCAGTATGTTGAAGAAAACGTAAGATAGAGCCTATTAGCAGAAAGCAGCCTATCATCTCATTTTTCTTGCTGTTTTCCAGGAAGTCACTGTTCGAGTTGCAGACCTTGTTTACATCCAAAAATGTTCTCTGGCTGTTTCAATAAGAACAAATCTTTCTATTAGTTGTAAGGCCCTGCTGCTGTAGAGACTTGCTGTTTTCTCAGGGGAGCAGAGCAGGAACTTATTGCAAAGCTGAAGGCAGTTTTTATAAATAACAACTTAGCCCCAAAATATAGTGTTCAACCATGCTGGACAAAGGACAAACCTTAGATTTTGTCTTAAAGGACAAAAATATTCATATTTTGGCAGGGAATGAGTGAAGATGCTGTTTTCCAGTAACAATGGTGTTTATCTGTTCTTTTTAAAGGTTATGGCGATAAAAGCAGGAAATCAAAAAGTCATAAATAAGTTAATTGGACTGGTTCAAAGAGCAACCCAAGGCCGATCCAATCCTGTTCTGGTGAAGCAAATATTAGAGAAGAAGCTGTCAGAGTAGCCACAAGGGAAAACTGCACAACTGTCTACAGAAGACACACTTCGTCCTGTGTGGTTCACTGCTGATGAACTGTAGTGCCTCCTTGTGTGGCAGCATTATGTGCCCCAGGTCGGTTCTGCTGCAAGGAGCATTACTTTCTTGCCTTCCCAGCTGCATCAGCCAAAGGCAGATGAGTGAAAGACCACCTCAACAGACGATGATGGAGTTGTTTACATATCCTCCACTTTGGTGGGGCATTCAGAAATGTAATTTACATACAGCCACGGGGAACAAGTTCCCAGAAAAGTCTGTGAGTATACAGAGCGTAAGTTGTATTCGTTAGTTTTGTAATAAAGCAAGTGTAAACTGAGCTCTTCCAGCTTCTGGAGATGGGCAATTCGCAGCTCTTGAATGTGTAAATCTGGTGGTACATACTAAGAACCCATTGTGAGTTAGTGGGAGCACACTAGTAGATACAATCAAAACACCTAGCACTAATGAAGAATGGCCGCATGTGCCTGCATGCCTAGCAGAAGAGGGAATTAAAAAAAAGTGCCACTGCGCTCATTCTTCCTGGTTTCTTAGGTATGGGACAAGGAAAAAATCCTGAAGTCCACTGAAGTCCAGGGTCCTACAGTTAAGTTCCCTTTCCCAACTCATTGACATATTTAAATCCTTTAGCTGATCGAGCCATTCACAAGAGACCCAACTAGGGGCAGCCATTCAAATTTACAGCTAGGAGGGCAAGAAATTCCATTTAGCACCAGGGGACTCTTTGGAGTTCTTACATCCCTTTTGGAGGCTGCTCAATGGTACGTTTTAAAGACCACATATACCTCCAACCCCAGAGATGCTTCGTCAGAATTGCTCTTGGAGAGGTGCCCCCCAGGCACATGTTGCCACAGAAGACATGTAGCATGTATACTCCAGGCTTTTAGTCACTTTTTGCAAAGGTGTTTGCAACGCTAGTTCTGGCTAGGTTGATGGCAGTTAATTCTCATGAGTGTCAGTGCTAACGTTTGTCTCAAGGAGATTTCTGTACAAATTGGCCCATGGTTCACCTTTGAACTCTGAATTAGAAGACAAACAAAAAACACAGCTTTCAAATACATTTAATGAATAAAATGTATACCCAGAATTCACATAAAAATAACTTTACAGTTAAAAAGTCATAAAGCTGACAAAAAGCAGTAACATGGTTGCAATCAAAAACCGTGACCCTTACAAAAACACAAAACCAGGATTTTTTTGTAGCCTGACAGTCACACAAAGGTTTTTACTATGTTTTCATAGCATGAGCAAGAAGTACCATTTTCTCTTACAGTGGTGTAAGCTTTCAGTTAATACAAGGTTTAGACTATACAGCAAACTTTACATTTTAGAACTGGAGGTCTGTTCAACTCCTGCCATGGCAGGAAGAACCCAAAAGGCACAAGGGCTTCTGTGTGAAATCTCAAATCCTAATTTAAAGGTACTCCTGGGTGTAAAAAACACAATTGTTTCCAAAAGGTTGTCCTCCAAGGTTAATGCTTTTTGTTGCACAGCTTGATGCTGTTGTGCTGAGTTTATCCTCTATAGTAGTGGGTGCCTCTTGAAAAATAAATAAAGAGTTGAGAAGCACAACACCGTATTTGGGACAGTAACAATTAAGCTGTATTTAAGAGAGGGAAGGCGTTCCACTACTGTAGCATGGCTACTGCTGGTAAATGTCTTTCTTTTCAATAGTTATAACTCCATAGCCACTCTTTTCCTAAATAACTAGACTTTGCTAATAGAGTACAAAATCTGTTAAAAATCATGAGCCAAGTTCTATATGAGTACAGCATTAGATCTTGAATTGGATTTACTTTAAGTCTCAACCTATTTTTCACCTCCACCTGCCAGCCACAATGGATAACTAGTAAGACAAAAAGGGATAATTTTAATATTCTTTCTCTTTGAGGGAAGGTAAAGATCAGCCACAGCCTATAAATTTTGAACTATATTAAGAACCAGTCACTTGTTGAATTTTTAAACAAGTCTTCTGCAGACACACACAAAATGTAAATTTCTTTATGATAGGAAGAGAAGTGTTTTTGAGTCAGAGGAGTTCAAGATGATGGATCTTTTTTACATTCATGGAGATAGCAGCTATCAGCTTCGAAGCAGTCTGAGCTGGCAGCAGGAGCCAGAGGTAAGAACGCTCAGCGTGGCCAGCTCACGTGGTTCTGACTACAGCAGCCTGCGGTAAAGGGCTCGTCAGTCACGCCACGCCATCCTGAGCAAACCCATACAACCAAATTCATACCACCTCACTGTGTCCTAAATGGAGCTAAAGGCAAATTCTAAACATCCCAGAAGTAAACTTCATACTGAGCACAAGAGCAACTTTGGCTTAGCTTTGTATAGCAATACTCTGCAAAGCACATAAAAAGACAGAAGTAGCCTCACAGAATTCTGTATCGGCTATTGCAAAGACTACATAAATAATAATAATAAAAAGCAATCACCCCCAAAACCAGAGGACAGGTAGGTCCAGGAAGATAAAATGCAGAACCTGGCGATGAAGTGTTCAGAGGCTGTTATAAACACAGTTGTATCAAGGCTAGGAACTCAACTTGAGAATTAAGGTGGGGGCTTTGCCCCTAACTGGTAAGCCTTGCACAGCCACGGCAGGGCTCCCTGAGCTACCGAGTGCAGGTGCCATCTGTGCAGCAGCACCAGGCAGGGTGAGTTAAGGACAGGTTCGTGCAGATTTTCAGCAGTAGCCGTCCATGAACAGAGGGACGAGGAAAATGCTCGCAAATTAAAAGCTGACACCAGACACTGTCATGACAAGCTCATCTAACCGCTGATGAAAAGTCCTCTAGGAGGTCACCCCTGAGGCGGAGAGATGATACTTACCGTCCCCTATAGCTGAGGTATCCCATACCCAGGGCTGTGCAAGAGGAGAAGAAAGTTGACAAAAAAGATGCTGGCAAAGCTGAAGTAGCGAAGAAAGAATTTCTAGCACTCAGCCTTGGCTGCAGAGTTTAATTTTAACTGTGTTAAAAATAGAAGCATATGATAGGAGCCTTAACTAAAAATTTACAGCTAGAGTATTCACACTGCACTTTCACTGCAGCCCCTCTCCACTCTGTGGCATGGCGTCAGCACACTGCAATGTTCTCGTTTCTGTTCTGAGCACCCCTCTACCTACACACTCTCACAATCACTGACCTCAGCAGCACCTTCTCAGTAATTTATGGCCCTGTGTGTATGCTTGACATGTAAAGTGGCTTTTCTTCCCTTAAGCAAGTTAGGTTTTCCCTCAACTCTCTCTTCTCAAAATGCTCAGGGTAGAAGGCAGAACAGTGCGCTGGTCTTTTTGCCCTCATTGCCTGCATCTTCCTTGCAATGCTGTTTACAAACACCCCAAAGTTTGTTATATTATGCTTCACACAACAGGCACATAAAACCAAGCTGCCACGGACAGGAGGTCAAGATTTATCCCTCCGGACACTCAGGAGCTTGCTTGCACTGGGCTGGCTGGTTGGTGCAAATCTCTTCCCTGCTCCCCTGCAAGACGTGGCAAACTTTCATATAAAACACAGAGAAAGAGCGAATGATACTGCTACACAGTGTGAAGAAGGCAATAAAATCCCAAGTCCTAAGTTGTCAAGGCCTGTGATTTGCTGTGCGTTTTCCTGCCCATCGTGATGGTAAATTTAAACTCCAAGCAGAAGAGTCTCTGGGCCGAGCCAGACCAGTAATTAGGGGTCACTGCAGCAGGAACACAGTGCCACCAGGAATGCTCCTCCTTTTCTGACTGTGCTCCAACACACAATTTCTGGCTGTACAGCCTAAATTTAACTGCACTACAGCAGAGCTTCAGTGGGCAGCGGAAGTGCCCGGCTGCTGCCACAAGACAAGAGGGATGCGAGTTCAGTTCAGGGGGCAATGTAGCTGTGTGTGGTCCTACTGAGTGCCAGGCCAGCCCTCGCAGGCACTTAGTCCCAGCCCCCAGATCTCCTGTGGGGCCTTCAGGTGTTACAGGGTTGTTTGGATGTACAGGTGGAGAGGGGCCCTTACACTCCTGTCCTTCCAAAAGTTTCACCCCGGGGAGTGCTCCCTCCACTCACAGCCATTACGCATAAGCCTGAAGCAAGAGCTCTCCTGACACTGCCACACCAACCACAGCTTCAATTACCTCAAGCAGCAACACCCACAAAGCTGGCATAACCACCAGCAAGTTGCATTTTGCCTCCTCATTCCTAAAGCCTTTAGTTTCAGTCTGGTCTTAGAGGCGCTCAGACACCACTGTTACCATGCTGGAGTTTTAAGACCGACGCCTGGACACGGGGAAGCACCTGGAGCAGCACAAGGCCTCGGCTCAAGGTGCAGCAGGGAGTGCCAGGAGCCAGCACCGCTCCCTGCCCTCAGAGGACAGGCAGGATGGCATTTTGTCCGGGCCCTGGCCAAGCTGCCACAGCAGCGCTCAGCCAAACGCAGTTTAGCTGTCCTGGATTTAACTCGTTATTTTTTTGGTCCGAATCCAAGCTAGTTACTTTTGAAGCAGACTGCAATAAATATACAGCTGCTATGGAATTGGCTTCGTCGGAACTGGAAGGTTGCAGGTATTCAGGCCACAATACCTAATTGTATGCAGGCATTCTGCCGAAGCGCCAGAGAAAGTTATTTGGTTGAGAACTGCAGCCTTTGCACAAAAGTTCCATCAGGGCTTTAAGCCCAGAGACTTCAGTCTTAATTTAATCCAGCTGCCACACAAGAACCATTATAATCAATGAACAAAAAGAAGATTTGCACAGTCAGCAACAAAACGCCACTCTAAGTACCTACACATTTAAGAATACAAGTAATGCTCCTATTCATAAATAAGAGGCTTCCAACTGGGCATGTAACAAATGAAGCACGTTGATGCAGGGCCACAACGTGTTCAGAAAAGCTGGGGGCCCCTGAAAAATTAAGTACATTTACTCAGAGTCGGGCTTTCACAGCTAACAAAGTCACCGAAGTAGCGCTGCGTTCTCTGGCTGCCTTCGGCCTGACAGCTGGCACTGCTGTCCTATTATCTGGATACCTAGTTATGCAAATCTGACACCACACTAACAAGGAGCAATTTTTACCCTCCTTCACACAGTTCTGGTCCAAAACATTACTGGGCAGAGCTACCCAACTGGACAGTTACCATAGGATACTGTCAGATCCATTTTTTCAAGTTTGCCACAAGTTTTTTATTTCTGGTCCCTGTTAAGTGAGGTCAACACAAATGTAAATTTTTGCTGCATTTCACACAGATGCAAGTGCCCCCTGCTAATCTGCGCTGTTTTACCTTGGGTTTGCTCGTTAGCCTGCGCAGCCTGGGTGTCAGGTACCCTGTTTCTGCTGGGAATGTTCAAAACGTGCAAGAGGAACATACTGTAATTAGCAAAATCAGATCTAGACACAGCAGCAACGTTACTGTACTGTGCCAGAGGCATCGGAGTCAAAAGAAAAGAAAGAAGAAAACGCCAGTATTCTCTCGTAACTGCAGGTGCAGTTTAAATGTTACGAACTTAATAGGAGCTGTCATAAAAACTGCAGGCATGACATAGCAATTTCAGTAAATACAGCACAGTAAATTGCTTATTAAATCAAGCTGCCCTCAAACAGGAGCTGTGGCTACAAATTTAAGTGATACAATGACATAATTTCACCGCGCCAAATCACACAGCTCCCATCCTTTTCCTCTCAACCCTGAGATTTTAGAGCTTCCTAGAGGAGCTGAAAAACCTTCCTGAAGCATGAAGCCTTCTGCGAGGCATAAGCACAGCACACAAAAGGGGAGCGAATGCCTGTACGCTGTGCTAGATGGTCCGCTTCTCTTGGTAAATAGGACTTAACCTCTTGAACCTAAATCCTTGGACTCGGCAGGATGCAGTAAGTTTGTTTGCAAATGTTTTTCTCAGAAGGAGCGTGCAGACCACTCAGGCATCGTGCCTGGGCCAAAGAGCAATTAGAGTTGTGCTGGTGGCAGAAGCACCGCTCAGCCTTACTGCCTGCCAGTTCTGTTCCCATTCAAAAGCGAGGCTCCTGCCCATGTCTCCAGTCCACCCCCAATCTCTGGGGTTTTCTTCCATTCCAGGAAATTTACCAGCCTTGGTAAAAACAGCAGATCGAGTCTGAAAGGCAAGTGCAGGAGGCCCCGCCGTTACCCGCACAAACACAGCAGTGCATCTTTCACATCTGGAACTGCAACGCCAATCAACACCTCGGTCTCTTTTAAAATCCCAGATTTTCCTTTAACGGCACATAGGGGAAAGCGAAATTTAAGCAGGGCCAACAACACAGCACACGAATTGCAACTGATGTGTGTGTGTTCAGAGATCAGTACATACAAAGGGTGATGCTGTCTTGAATGAAAGCTGCTGAGTACAGCAGTCCAATAGGAAACGTGTGTGTGTGCTGAGCCTAAACTACAGGGCATCCAAAATGGGTCAAAGGTAGAAGACAATGACTGCAGCTGTTTTAAGACACAAAGTGCTCACCTTATAGGCAGGTTGCAAGAAAATAGCAGGTTCAAAGAGCAGGAAAGATTCCTTGCTAGAGCAGAACAGCTTAAAACCACACTGAAAGGCTGCATCATTGAAAATGTGGCACTCACAGTTTGAAACGTATAAGAGGAGACTGGAAATTAGCTTTGGTATCACTGAGCCACCACCTGCAGGTTTTGGAATAGATCTGCCAACCCCAGGGTACTTCACATGACCGATGCTGAGACAACGTGCAGAAGGGGACTACTCCAGCGACATACACGTGAGCGTGGGAAGATCCGGATCGTGGAACGCCTCCCTCCTGGAAAGAGCAACATAACACTGTGTCCTCCAGTGGTGTACCACCTGGACTGCAGAGACCAGAGGCATAATTTATTAATTTTTTTTGTTGTTTTGAAAAAAAAGATGGCTCATTGGTGAGAGACGGGATAATACATTATCTAACTGGAGGGAAGGAGCTTATTAAACAAGCATTTAGCTGAAGAACTTACGCACAAAAAGGTGATTCATCTCTAAGGATCAACATTTTCAAGATAAATCACAGGTTCTGCATTTTGAAGACAGGGAGATGTAATTCCTGCCAATATTTTTTCACTGGGTGCTGACATTATGCTTCTGTCACAGCTGAGTCATAGCTGCAAGCCCGACTCCGCTCAGGAACCAAGAAATACAACGTTACACATACAGTGGTCATTTTTATGGTCCTGAGCCAGGGTCACTGCACTCACCCAGCTCTCCCTTTTGGGGAGCTGACAGGCAGGTTTCCCTCTTACAAGGGGACACTGTGTACAAACAGTTGTGACCTTTCAGCAAGAAGTCCTCCACATCACTCCAACGGCTGTCTTTATCCTCCTGCAGCTGACTTTATCCTCTTCCAGGAGGGAAAATCCTCCCCTCTCTCAAATTTACAGGTGCTTTTTTGAGCAGTCCAAATTTTAAAATCCCCATGTAGCTTAATAGCCCTGCTGAGATTAACACTGCCGTGACTTTGCAGGTTTGTTGAAAACACCAGTTAAAATAACAATCTCAAAAGAAATCGCTCCTACCCAGCGAACAAAGATTGTTGTTTCAGAATAAAAACAAGGGAAGGGAGGGTTCACAGAGTAAGCTCGCTGCCTTGAGCGTCTGTCTGCAGAATTGATTTTCCTTTTCTTTTTTTTTTTTAAGGAATCCTCCTTTAAAAAACAATTGGATTACTTTTGCAATCTAGCACATGATTCTGAACCACTAGAAGTGAGCTGATCACGTTTATTCAGGTCTTTTTCTTTTGCTCACAAAGTTCCTACCAGAAGAGGCGAGGAGCACAGCACACCCTGCCCTACACCCACAATGCTGAAACACTCCACACAATGCCACAGAACTCCTTCAGGCCCGGCCTGCATGAAAGACAGCGTGAGTACAGCGTGAAAGACAGCACTTCGGGTAATAGCAGGAACGGAGGAAGAGCCCACTATTTCCCAGGATGACATAAAGTATCTTAATTAGCTCATCTCTCATTCACAACAGCAATGCAGGGGAAAAAAAGAAAGAAGGGAAGAGCTCTCCCAAGCCTGGATAACTGAGATTTAAGAAAAAAAAAAAAAAAAACACAGCTTTGACTTCAGCTTCCACAGAAGCTTGTGAAGTGAAACAGGGCCACGTGGAGGTCAGAAGGTGATTTACAGGATGGCAATGCAATGGTGCTTAAAAAAAAATAGACAAGTTAGAAGTGAAAGCAAACCAGAGAATCAGCCAGGAAGCAACATGGCCCCCAGCCACGGTCGAAGTGAAGACTGTACAGCAAACAAGCAAAGACAGACCCAGAGAAATTCTTGAGGTGATTTTGTTAGAGGTACACTTTGGGATTTTTTTCATTAGAATTGCCTCCAGCAGTCTGACAATGAATGCTTCTCACAGTTGTAGATGAAAGGTACAATTTTTTCACAAGCATCTAAAGGATTTAGGAGCTTAAATTGCACAGCAAGGTCCACAAGAATTGATCTGTAATTAATTACACTCTTCTGGGGTGGTTTTGTTTTTAACCAAGTGTTCTTACTACCATAAGCTTTCCCCAAGCAATCTCTGAGAAGGTGTGTATGGAAATTGGGGTGTGATTGACTGAAGTATCCCAGTATTACGGAATTACAGTGAGCAGAACCAACACACGCAAGTGTTATTTCCTATTTCTGGTTCTTCAAGTTTTCTGGAGAGGCTGTTAAGTTTCTTTCCTGGAAAAAGGGGGTTTAAGGCTTTCTTGAGCTAAACACCCCTTTATGTAGCCAGCTAGAGCAGAGTGGAAGCACAATTATGCTACTGAGATAAGATGGAATGCAGTGGTGATGCACCAATTCATCATGCTTGGGTTCTTCTAATGAAGCCCATTACTCACGGAAGAGAATTTTCTCGAGCAGTTAGTCACCAGCAGACAGCTTTCCCTGTTACCGCTTCCTTTTCTGCAGCTGGTGAATAGCCTGGTCCTCCCCTCGCTATCCCGAAAGTGCAATATTAGGAAAAGTCAACACCTAAATTAAAAGTAAACAAACAGTATTCAACTTTCCCTTAACCAAAAAAAATGAACAATAAAACAGAACAGCTTTCAGGAGCAAGCCAACCTTTTTCATTAAAAAAAGGACAAAACCAGCCTGCTGTCCTTTTAATACTACTGAAAGATATTGAATACCTTTCCTTAGCTTATTAAAATAAGCATAAAAACAAACTACAAATTAATCACCACTTGCATAGACACGTTTTGTTTTGTACTTTGTGCAAATCTTACTAAATAAGGCATGCTTGAGAGTTTAGGTAGCAATGCAGCAGTTATCAAAGAATGCTGAGAAACTGCAAGGAAAATTCCAGGCAGTCTGCAATCCACATCCACTTACACAGTTCATTTGACTTCAAAGACCAACAGCTGATAGCTGCAGATCTGTCTGCAACATAAGGCAACACGGTATGCGTAGGGTCCGGCACCTGCTTTCAGCTAGTCACGGGTTTCACACACATAAGATCACTTGAATTCACAAACCTGAGCCACCAGTCAGAGAGGGCTTTTCGGAGGTGGACTGGTAAGAACCCCGTCTCAGGGAGAAGGAGAGGAAGGGGGGAGGAGGGCAGAGACATGGAGAAGCACAGCCCCTCACAGAAAGGGATCTCGTGCAGATTTTACCCCAAACTTTGTCCATGGAGCAACGTTTTTCCAGACAAACCATCATCAGACAGGCTTTTGAAAAGAATATTTCTGGAGCAGAAAAAGCTAAAACATTTGCCTCTGAGCCAGCCTATGAGTGCCTATTGCAGAAATTCAACAGGAGTCAGTGACACTGAAGAAGTGCAGCTGCATAAAGAAGAACTCGGAAGCTGCATTAAGAACAGTATCAGGGATCTCTAAAATAAGTTATGTAGCACAGAGGGAAATTATGAGACCCAATCTAAGGTAATGTGGAATGACATTTTGCCTCTCTCTTCCCCCTCCAAATCAAGTATTTTCAGGAAATATTGAAGTACAACCTTCTTTTGTAAGCAGCTTTGCATTATATAAAAAAAAAAATCTGTTTGAACTCCAAAAGCATTTTAAAACCATGTTTAAAAACCCTCCTAATAATAATCCTCAAAATCCCCCAGTATTTTGTAACATAAAACGGAGTGTTCCTGCGCAAGAGCTGCCAGCTCCTTCAGGAACTCCGGGAAGAGGGCAGCTGCCAGGACAGCATTCCTCACGTGCGCAGGAAGACCAGGATGAGCCAGGCCCCTTTTTCCTTTATGTCCCAGGAAAGGCTGGAGTACAGCCGGGGAAGCTTCAGAGAGGTTCCTTCCTTTCCCTGTGCTGCTGCCATGCTGGACGTTACCTAAAGCCGGGAAGAGGGTGGGGAGGGGAAAAAAAGAAAGAAAAAAAAGGGCTTAGTATGTTAAGCACACGGTATTTGTACAGTGACCAAACGCAGTTTGCAAGGATGGTGTTCAGAGCTGTAGTTTACGGTATCCGGACTGCAGAGGCAGATACTCCACTAATCCAAAGTTTTTAAGTTCTACATGGCCTGCTTCTACTGCATTTTTTATTAGCCGTCTTTCCCCAGGTTATATATTATTCAGCTGCAGCTCTGATGAGAGAAATATGTGGGCAGAAGAGTCATCAAGGGAAAGAGTAATATGGATTTACTTTATGAAATAGATAATATCTACCATTAGACCCAGCATGGTTTCCTCAGTTTAAAATACTCTACTCTGGCCCTCCCCCAGATCAAAATATCACTCGGCTCCACTTGGTTCTCTCCTCCCCCCATGAATCACTGTGTAAGTGGGCTTGAAGCCAAGCTATCAAAATTGCCACGGGAATCTGAAGCAAGCTGGAAACTAAGGGAAAAAAACTTTTGAAATTTTGATTTTCCTACAGCTGTAGCTCTTGCCAACTATACTTACTTATACTCCCTGTAAAGCAGCTAAATATTAAAAAAAAAAAAAGAAAGGAAGAAAAAAAGAACAAGTGAAAGCCACCATGTGATCTGCAGGGCATTAGAGCTATATGATCTCTGATGCCAGAGTTCAGGGGATCGGGGCTCAAACATCAGGACGCATGGAATTACAGAGACAGCAGCACTTAAATTTCAATCAAGTGCTCCTTGTTTCATCCTGAAGCAGAACTGCACTTTAATTAAATGCTATTCAGCAAAACTAAAAAGGTGACAAAATTTAACACTGATGGAAATAAATACCTTACAAAGAAAAATTAACTTGCAGAACTCCCTGCCACGAGATGTCACTGAGGCCAGGATCTCAGCCAGCTAGCATCCTGCCTAACTTACAAGTGGATGTTCCCATTAGTTGGATAAGCAAATAATTGAACACACACACAAAACCTAGAGCCAACCAAGGAAACAAACAAAAACCCACCCTGTCATATTAACTCACGTACCGCAGACAAGCCCAACACCACAAGACTGCATTAAGGAGAGGCTTCCCTTGAGCACATGCAGTTTATACTAAAACAATTCAGTCCCAGGTTACATGAACCTTTTTCTGAAACATCTGCAAGCAGCTAATGGGGGTACCCCAGGTGAACGCCTCCCTCGATGTGGCAGAGCAATTCCTCTGTTCAACAGCTCTGCGCTCGGGTTTCTTTCCTGTAGCTCTCCTCTGGCATTGTGGAATCACTGTGAGCTTTCAACTACTCAAAAGAAATTTTAATCTTAATCATCTAACAGAGTTGTACTTTTCTCGAGTTTCAAAAAACCTTTCCAACTCCAGACTTATCAATCATTCATATTGTTATTCTACAAATTTCTGTCTACTAGAGACACAGTACAGGAATTTCAGCTCTGTGGAAAATTCTGACTGTGGGAGGAAAAACAACTTAAATTATGAATTACAATCAAAAGATGAAGTTTTGAGCTTCCCTTGAAGATTTTCTTTTAGATTCTCTTACAATCTCAAAATGTTTCATAATTAATATCAAGTATTTTAAATAGTTTAGCCAATATAACCAGAATGTTACTGTGCTTTGAAAGCTTTTTTTTCTTAAACTCTTCCCTTCATAAAGCATCAAAATTGACACAGTTCAACAAATAACATCTTGATTTAAACTTTTTATATATTTATATTTAAAAAAAAAAAAAGGAGGCAGAGTAAGCTGGTCAAGGGATCAGAGATTTGACTTTTTTCTTCAACCAAGACTGTCCACTTCTTTCTGCAGTCAGAACGCAAACTGAATCACGAAATCGAGAAAATGAGCACTCTGGAGACAGCGTTAGTAATGCACTGGAAAAAGGGCAGCATTTCATATGGGATCTACATCACGGAACTCTACATATCTAACCCTAACCCCAACTACTGTGTGAGCAAACCATGTAGTACTGTGCAAGCAGAAAATAACAAATCAGCCCTTCCTGCTCAAATGCTTTTGGAGGCTGTCACTCTCAAAAGAAGGGAAATGCTTTGGAATATTTCACGTTTACATTTGCTTTCCCCATTAAATCTGGCTCATGTTTTTCAGATGCAAATTCTGTAGGTGGCCTGTTGTGCTCTGGCCTTTAGAGAAAATCTGGGGGGGTTATTCATCACTTCTGTTTGGGGAAGAAACCCCCAGAGCACAGCTGATGCTTTATTAGCTTGAATGTCACCTGTGAGCACCGCACAAGAATCCTGTACGAGTTCCTCATTCTTTTTCATTTTCCATTAGCGTAGCAGCTTCTGCCTTGCCCTTGCACTTTTAATCAATACAGTGACCTGCTGCGTGTCAAAGGACTAGTGAGCCAACTTGCCCCAAGAATTACAGTTTGATTGCTTGCATCACCAGCCTTGTTGGGAACCAAATCTGCTGTTATCCAGACATTTATTTACTCTCCATCCATTTGTCAAGAGGTGCCTTCTTTACAGGGGTTGCCACAAGACAGAAGAAAATGTACCAACAGAGTGACTAAGCAGCCTTGTTTTGAGATCTTAAATAATGACCCGCATGAGTCAGCCTGGCATATTCTGAAGCCCACAGAAGAAAACTGACGTAAAATAGTAAGTACAAATAAATGCCCCAAATTACTCTGGTATTTAACTGAGATACGACTAACCAGCACTGAAAACTCTTAAGTGCAAGGCATGTGGGTTTTCTCAGACAGATGAATTTCTGTTGAGAATGCATTATACAGAAGTTCCTACTGCCAGCACCTGAAAAAAAGGACATTTAATGTTGCCTCCTAATCTTGTATCCCACGTGCCAGCTACAACATCACCTAATTGTACGGCTTCCTAATCCATGGTACCAGAACGCAGAGCTAAGCCCCCCCTGATATTTGCAACACACAGCTCATTTACAGCACGCGCCTTCTACGGGCTCATTCTTCGAGAGGCAGCCTTGGCGAGATCGTAATTTTGCAAAATACATGTGCTGCAAACCACACAAACACACACCACGCTGACTAGCAGCTAGGTAAATTATTCTTCAGAGCCTTGAAAAATGAAAACACAATTAAGAAGGCACATAAGTCCTGCCTTGCACACCTCTGGAAATCCAAGGAAAACATCAACATCTTTACAGAGGTCTAGGCAAGGCAGGACAATCATTACTGATTCCAAATGATGCATAAGAACATCTGTATATGCAGCCTCTTGAACCCTGGTGTACATCTCTTGAACACCTGGTCACAGCGCTCACTAACTTCTATGCATTCTCTTCCAATGGCAATTATTTTCTTTGGTGGTGGCGGTAGGCTTTTTTGTTTATTTGTTTTAAGGAAAACCTGCACCCCAACCCTGCCTGCTCAGCAACAAGCTAAGAAGCCACATGCTACCAGGGCAGGGCCCCTAACCCAGCTGCTTCTGGAAATTTCTTAATTAGAACATAAGAGTCTTCATTTTGTTAATTTTTATTAGCTTCCCTCACTGCAGCATAAGTACTGTTAACTGTTAAGACAGGTGTAGCACACGCTGTCCTTGACTAGCAGCAGATGTTGCAAAGTCCCCTGGAAAGCTGGGGTAATACCTGCTTAACTCCCTGCTGCTCTTGAAGTGTCCTGACTTATATCCCCCCATTTATTTTTATGTTTTATGTTTTCATTCAAGAAAGCACATTTGAAGTTTTCTGGCTCATCTCTATCTCGCTCAGTTGAAGCCCAAGCTATGATGTGAAGCCTTATTCAATTGTTACCAAAACCAATTTATTCTGGATTTCTGTCCTCCCTACATTTATCAAAAAAAGACCCAATGACTAGCAGAAGGTCAGGCTAAAAATAAAATGAAATCATGCACATATGCCACCTCACCTCATGCCTTGAAAGCAAGTTTGTTTACGGCCAAACTGACAGCAAGCCAAGCAAGAGCTGATTTTGTTACTCCTTTAAACAGACGTTTTCTGTAGCAACGACATAATAAAAGCTTCTAAAGAGCACAGAATATCCAAATAGATCCCTATACTGTGGCCTACTGAGGATCATCAGTTTCAAGTCAGAACGGTGCATCTGGTTAATGATATTTATAACGCACCACACCTACTTTTAATCGTGCTGTAGCAAATAGTAGAGGTGGCAGGTGAGTCACTGCACCCAGCACTCCTCCGGATGCGGTTAACATTTACCTTTGGTTAGCAGCTCCTCGGCTGCATCAGACATGTCCACGCGAAAAAGCAAGTACTGCTGGGCCTCCAGGAGAAGACCTGGGAAGTCTTTTTCAATAGAAGCAAAATGTTCAATTTTATTTTTCACAGATGCCAGCACCTGCCAAAAGAAGAGCAACAATCACTTTTTACTCCCTTGCTCCCTGTGCAACCACACCTTGAATGCTCAGGCTTTCTCTAGATGCATTAAAGAAGAGTTGCAACAAAAGTTACGGCCATGCAGAATTTCCAGTTCTTTGCACAAAAGATCATTAAAACATTGAAATGAGATGCAAGGCTCTCGGGTGGGAGAAGAGCAGGTGGAAGTGAAAAGAGCTGAAGTAAAGTTTAACAAGACACCAAAAATGCTGTTCCTATAGGCATGACTGGTGGTCAAATACCTGATAAAGTGAGCGCACGCTAGGCTGAAACACCATGTTGGTGTTGAGCAGGAAGGAGCGAAGAAGAGGCTGTGGATAACTCGCCAGCTGGGTAATAATCCCAATAAGCAGCAAATTGACATGCAAGGAATTCTCCAGCATGTTCTCCAGCTTTGACAACACCACGCTGATAAATGGTCCTGAAAGAAAAGGAGAAGGAACCAATGCCTTTGTTTTCATAGAAGAAAAATCCTAAGATCCAGGAAATAAGCATGGAAAAGGAACTTTGATCATTATAACCAACCAAATCAGACCTACTACATGCTAATTAAAGACAGCAAGGAGAAGAAAAAAAAAAACAACAAACATAACTGAACAGACAAAATAGAGTTAACAGAGATGTTAAAAGCTTTCATGAGTAGGAGCATTTGAGTAGCTAGCCACTTGCATTAACAGCATATTTAACATACACAACCGTTCTACTTTACATATGCCAATAAGGATTTAGCCTCATGTGTTATGGTCTGTCATTCCATGCCTTTTGAAGTTAATCAGGATGGTACCACTGAACAATCTGTCCTTTTCACTGGCATTGTGCCTTATTTCCACAGAAGGACTCGGCAAAGTAAATTACAGCCAGATAGTCTTATCAAAAATCTGTGCTCTTGTAAAGAAAATACAAAAATGCTACTCTAAACATAAAATCAAAACCTGCAATAGCTCACATCACAAGAAAATGCATTTTCAGCACTGCGAACAGTCACACAAAGCAGGGAAGATATTAAGATAGATTTATAAGCAAAATTATTTGTAAAAGTAGTCTTTATCATATAAATGTCAGCAATAAATAATAGCTTTAGCTTGTGCATTCATGCTGGAGGATAACCACTGATATACAGAGGCATTTACCGCCAGGGTACCAAGCCCTGTAGTGCTCAAGCTTAACAAAGCTGTCCGAAGGTGAGCGTGCCTTTCACCAGATCACAGGGGCTGCTGGGTGGCACTGCCAGGGGGTGCTGGAGGGGTGCCCTGATCACAAGCAAAGCGCTGGGGAACAGCCCTCTGCCCGCAGCCAGCCCCGCCACACGACTGCGTGTGCAACCCCTCGGGGAAACCAGGGGAACCCCTGGCTGACAGGCTGACAGCACGACAAATGCTGAGTAGCCACCCGAGGCCCCAGCACAAGGCGCAGGCCACCAACACTTCTGGGTAGGTTCCTCCTGTCCCAACATAACCCACTGCTTGCTGCTCTCCTGTCCGTGGGGACACTTCCACAGAGCTCCTGAGGACCACAGTGCAACGGGAGCTCTCCTCTCTCAGGAGGGGTTGCAGTGGAGGCAGCTGAGGTAGCTCACAGTTCCTCTCCTGTAGGTCAAACTTCACATCTGAGCAGGGAAAGCTGAAGTTAGGCATCTGTAATAAATGCTGTGTGCCACTCTGAGAGAAGTTACCAACATGAAATTCTCAGTGGTAGAGTGATGTATCTTCAAGAAATCATTAGAATACAAATCAGAGGAACTAAGAATTTGCAAGCCTGGTAAGAAGTGGAGTAAAGCAATGAAAATACCAAAAATATGTTCCTTTCCTGACTTCATCGCCACATTGTCATGAAGTCAAGCACTGATATATGGACAAAACAAAAACTGTGATGCACTAAGTTCCTGTTCCTGAACATCACATTCTTCCTTGCTTCAGGGCAAACATGGATGATTGTGGTTTTTAAGTTTTTAACCTTATATTGGACATTTAATTTTTCTTTTTAAGAAAAAAAATAAATTGGATATAGACATCAATGGGACATTTTCTTCATAGATCTGTGAGCCTGAAGAGAGCATCTTTGCACTGCTGAGAGTTACTGGGTGTGAGAGCCTCTGTCTGGTTAGCTGATCCTGCAGCAGGAAGCCCCATCCATCCTATGGCAACATCCCCAAAATTGAAAGCAACCGAAAATCTTTATCCCAGACATCTACATATGTAATGTAGCTCTCCACATTAAATATATTTGAAAAATGCTGGAATCCCACATTTCTGTGGCATTTTTGTGAGCACTTCCTTACCAAGGATCACCAAGACCTTCACTAAAGCAAGGTGAGCAGCCTAAGAGTAAGACACGTTATGGATGGGGAGCAAAGTGTGCTTTTTTGGTTGTGTTGGGTTTTGTTTTCCTGTTTTTAAAAGCAAGAAATGGAGGAAGGGACTGGATGAAAAATGTGAGACAGGGACAACATTTTTGAGCTACATTTGACAGCAGATAATGGGTAATGGAGAGGTCTGAATGTGATTAGCCTCTAATACAAGGAAATTGCCACCACAGAGAAAATAGCAAATGGACGGGATAAACAGGCTGAGTTTTTCAATTAGGAGACAATGCCAGGCATGCTGGCCACAGCTGACCAGAAAGGGCTGCATTTCATTGGATACAAATGAATGTTTTCCCCCTCCTTCCAAATGGACGAGACGTCAGATTACAGAAGTCTCATTTGGGATGAGAAAAACCCAGGCACACTACTTTTTTTTTTTATTATTTGCATTACTGTGGTATCTAGGAGACCTAATTAAAGATCAGGAGCCTGCAGTGCAAGGAGCTGCACAAGCACAGATCAAAAGCACGCTGCAGCCTCCAGGAGCGCTGTCATTCCGGAGTGCTTTGGCCAGTCTCTGGAGAACAAGCTGAAATTGTTGTCTGGCACATGACAGCGCAGCGTGCCAGCAGCCAGGGCTGCCCTGGCGCTTGAGAAGCAGGCTGCCAGGGCGCTGCACGCAGACAGGCACGGGCAGACGTGGCACCCGTGCTGCCACCTCGTGCTAAAATGTGAAATAGCTGAGGGGGGGATAGAGGCATGCCGCATCCACAGCGTCAGAGATGAAAGGCATCAGGAAAACGCATCATTCAGCCGGGCTCTGTCTGTTAGCACAGTTACTCCGGCCCCCTTTCCACCACCAGGTTTCCCCTAGAACGACGGCACTCTGACACAAGCAACATAATCGCAGGGTTTTAAATAATTAAAACTAAAAGCCCCAAAAGAACTGAGCAGCCACGATTTCGTGTCACTGCACTGCTCTGCCCTACTCCCTGTCGCATCTCCTTCGCTCTCCTTGGGCCAGTCCCAGCTACTTGGGCACAGCCTCCTTAGTGCCAAGGCTGTTCCTTGCGCTGTGCTCGCGCCATGCACTGCACAGTGCCATCTCGTTTGGGCACCTTTGATCACCATCCCTTCTCACATTTGTTGTGTGTGTAACTAACAGGACATGCCACCTGTAAACGGAGCACTCTGGCTCCTCGTAGCACGCTTGGGAGAGGGATCCTCCTTAGGGCCAAAGGGAGACGACACACTCTCTGCAGATAGGGTGTCTGCTGAGAAATTCTCAAAGTCCTCCTCCTCTTCTGCAGGAGACACAGGGTCAGGAGCGTCCAACTTTTCCTCCTCCAAGCTTGCATTATTTGGATCCAGTTCCTTAATAATTTTGTCATACTGTGCAATGAAATCCTCACCATCTGTGCTCAGCAGTCTTACACTTAAGTTATGATCTGCCTCCTGAGGAGAAAGCTTCAACTCCAAGTCTGGCTGTGGATCCGTCTCAGCCATTTTCTGGTTTGTATGTTCTTTCATTATACCTTGAGTCAAGCTTGAATTTGTCTTACTGTGCTCATCCAAGTCCGTTTCCAGCTGGCTGTTTGCAAGAGGCCCATTGACAACAGTCTGGCTTTCAACCTGATGTTCTTTGGCTACATTTGAAGTTTTCTCCTTGGAGTTATCTTCCTGAGTATCCTTCTGGGCACATAGTCTGTAAACCATAACATCATCCTGAAAGTCTGATTCTTCTATGTAAGATCCTTTGATGAGCATGATCGCATTTTTTTTCATCTCCTGAATGTGTTTTGGTGGCTCTATAGGTGGCTGCATCTCTGTGCTCCCCAGATCATCATACGGATGGGGCGAGCTCACATCAGAACCAGGAGAAATCCCTGTGTCATAGCTATCATCCCATTCTAGCTCCAGCTGCATCTTCTCACCAAAAGGAGCTGTGTGAGAGGAGCTACACATGCTAGGTGTCCTTTGCTGGAGCCGAAACATGGGGTGTTCCACATCTGTATCATTCTCCTCAGCAAGCGTTTGGATAAAGGTGTCTGGATCGGGATTTACTCCATCATATAAGGCAGACCAAACCTTACAGTCTTTCAGACACTGGAGGATGGCTTCCTGAGCTTCCCCCAGGTACTGCAGGTAGCTGATATCCACGGTTCTTCCACATTCCACAATGCAAGTGGATTCACAAGGGCCTCTACCAGAATCTGAAAGTAAAGAAGATGACTCATAACATGCAATAAGAAAACAACATAAAAGTTCTCTAGCAAGACAGTCACTAAGACGTGGCAGGTGGAGTTTTAGCCCCAACCACCCAATAAGGCAGGAAGATCAAAGAATTAAGAGATTTGTTCATAAATGCACAACTCGTTCCTGCTAGCAAGTCAGCACTGTAATGCAGTATTTCTGAGAGGCCAGCCCACATCCTATCTGTAAAGCAGCTGTAAGCACTCATGAAGCTGCAAGAATTGCCATCATGTATCTGTACATTATTTTCACAAATGCGTATTTTAACAGCTACCCAAGTTGAATAAGGCTTCCATAGACCTGGACACACGGAAGGGATTACATCAGCTTTCCAGTGCAGCCTAATTGCCCAGTTTATTGTTACCCACCACTTTTCTTTCACCTCCTCCCATGAGCCAAATTCATTTCAGTTCATGATCTGGTCATCCCCCAAGCAACAATTACCTTCAGTTTGTGCTGCTTTTGTCCAGAGAATATAATCTTTTCCCTGGCTTTCCAGAGTCAAAGTGATCCCAGTGGAGCAGCAGACTGGTGTCAGGGCGAGCAGTTTTGCAGCAGACACAGAGTAACAGTCTCTCTCTTTCACAGCCCACCGCTGGCTCAACATCATGTGGTTACACGGGATCAGATACCTGAAAGAGCAGTGCCTAGCATTACATCCTTCCACGTTAGAGAAAGCTAACGCATACAAAATTCCCTTTCCACCTTCCTTCCCACTCCAAATTAAAAGAAATAACAATAATCTTGACAGTGATCCATATCCTAAACCTCTCAAGAGCATGAAGCCCTGACTCTTTACATTGTGAGGCTACAGTTCAATGAGTAACTGTCAAGAAGAGTAGAGATAGGAAATCAGTTGCATCAGAATGGGGAAGACGAGCGCTCCTTCATAGGTCAGAACAAGCCTGCTGTAAGAAGCGATGGGGGAAGCGTAGGATGGGCAGAAGTCAAAGGCTAGTTGTGTGGTTTGCTCCCATTATGAATGAGTTCTGTCTCAGAAGCCTTAATTTATTTGTTTTTCTAGGAAAACCACAGAGAGCTGGTTTACATGTACCAGGCAAGCAGCCAGCAAAAAGGAAGGAAGGGTCATCAAGGTGTTTTACAGCACTAGATCAAGAGCTCTCGGGCAGAGGAGGGAATAAGCTATGGGGAGAACAAGGAACAGAGGAAGAACACTCTCATGTTTAACTTCTTTAGAGCAGTGAATGTTTAACTTTTTAAGAGCACTTTATTAAGACCCTTAGTGTTAACTGGGCTGATGTTTTGCCATTTAAAATGCAAACAAATTTTAAAGGATTCCCTAAATAAACAAAAAGAAGATTAAACAACAGCACTTGACTGTACTGCAGTTAGTAGGGGAGTCCCAATCTAACTTGAGTTCAAAGAGTTCCTAACACCATTCCCAGGCACAACAGTCAGAGAGCTACAGGGAATTTCACCTTAACACCTATCAGTGGAGGGCCAGGCAGGTGCCTGAAACAGTCCCACCTTCCAGTCACACCTTCCACAACATTAAAGCCCTGATTTAGTTGCACCAGGATTTCCACATAAATGATCAAGCCTAATCTAATCCACATACTCAATTACAACTGTAGTGTTCTGAGGCAACCCATAGAAAAAACAGTTAGCAGTAATATATAATCAATGTGTCTAGCACATTACATAACAATTTATGTACAACAGTTCAGGAACCTGAAATATTCTTGGGGACTGAGCATAGGTGAAAAAACAGAGATGGAAGCTGCAAGCAAATATACAGGTCCTCTGTATATATAATACACTAGAGAAAACATGCAGGAGAGAAGAATTATACGTTTTAAAGCAGGGAATAAGCAGTTTGAAGGTGATAAATATATTCTTAGCTTCTCTTCTTTCTCTTTTATAGAAATAAATCACATGAAAAATCTCTTGTTCCTGAAGATCGCAGGACATAAATCACGCTTCTACAGGTCTAGCATACTTTTGTCAGAACTGTAAATATTCTTATCTCTGTAGTAGCTTGCATTTCTGCTGTCTTGGAGAACCCCCATCTAACTCTGCATCCATAGGCTGAGATTACACATCCCAGAATTAGAATGAAAAGTGGAAAGAAGAATTTGGGCTTTACCTTAAAACTAGCTGCAACATCACATCTTCACAATGCAAGCCAATGAGCGTTCTGAACAGTGCCAAGGAGACCACACAGAGCTGGAAAATGATAAATGCTTCAGTTTTTGATCTGGAAATTGTACCTTTCCATTCTGCATAACAGAATGACTCTGCCAGAACATAATGCTTTAAGTTACTGTTACTATGCTATTGCACTTTGTCAGCACCCCTATGGGATTTTATTAAGTTGTCTAGAGCTATACATACACCATGTTACATTTTGGCAAAACATGATCCAGAATTTTCCTTCAAAAAAGCTATAGAAAAATAAATATTCTTTAAAAGGTATTAGCATTAAATTATATGGAAACTCAAATCAACTATTTACCAGTCTTTTTTTTCCCTAATTTATTAGCTTAATCCAGCATAAAGTGAATCCTGTAACTTGCAAGATAAAGTGCTAGGGTTTACCTCTGACAAAGAATTTAAATCAACAAAGAGTCTTTTCCCAAAAAATCTATAAACCATCTCAAGTTTTGGTTGTTTTACATATTAGGAAAGATGAGCATTCTGCACATTACAAAACTAAACGCTTCTATACCCTACTGCCTTGAGAAATACTGCTCACTGACATAGGACTGCACAAGCCATTTTTTATTGGAATCCACTCCATGTGAGTTGATCCCAATCCTGCTATTACAGCTCATTTGAAGGGCGGGGAACCATGGCAAGGCATGAAGATCCTTTCTGTGAGACTATGTAAAAGGAAAAGAAAAACAGGACTCCTCATTGGAATTGCATGTTGCCTTACTGGCAAAGGTCTGATCAAACACACCCATAATCAAGTATTTCAGCAGTCACGTGCAGCAGAGGCAAAAATCATACCCTTTTTGTGATCAGCACCCCATTTTCACACTAGCTTTAGGACAGACTAGAAACTTGAGACTTTTATGGGATTTTTGGTCACAAATAATGTCTAAATAAGACACATACCACTTTCAAAACTATCATGCAGTGTATTTTTACCTAACAGATGCTTGCTTGACTGCACAGACGCATCCAACATGGTAGAAGCATGAGCTCTTATCTTTCATTTGTTTTTGTGAACAACAGCACCATCATTTCCCTGCCTCTTTACACGTATTCCCTTGGGCATGTGCTCCTGTGCTGCTCTGTCTTGGAAACAGCATCTCACAGCTGGCTTAGATCCCAGGACCAGGTTGACTCTTGTGAGAATTACTTAGCATAAGTTGACTCCTTCCTAGAGTTTCACTTTGGTTTTAATCTTGCCTCTCATTACATTAATCACATAATTAATACATGAAATAAATCTCACTTCTCAATAGCTTTAAAAAAAAAAAGAAACAAATTAGGACAAAATAAAGAAAAAGCTATAGATGTTTTCTGCCTCTTTTCAGTCACTGAATGTCCTTTGTAGTTCATTCAGGATTAAATCCAGCGTCCTTCCTGGGCAAGGCTTCTCAACTGTGGAATTTCTTCCTCTTCTCTGCACTCTCCCTACTCCCACTGATAAAATGCTCTGAGCTAGCTCTGCAACAGCACATTGCTATGTTCCTCTCCAGCCCAAGCTTTCTTGAGAACGTCGACTCAAAAGACTTTTTGTTTCACCATTTCCCTTCTCCTTTTCAGACCAGTGACTCAGCAGCCCTACAGAATGACCAGCTGTCCATGCTGACCAAGAGCAGAGGAATGCACACATTTCTTGTAAAATATACATACACATACATACATTTCCCCTGACTTGGTAGCTATCTCTGTGGAGCTATTAAGTAGTAAAGCTTTAATGAACCTCACTTGGTAGCCTCTAAAAAGCAAACTTTTCTTTGATTGCCTTCCCTAGTTTGGTCACTCAGCTAACACCCAGAGAAGAACAAGAGAAAGTGAGTTAAGCCCTGCACTCAAAAAACAAGCTGGGATGTGGACAAGCATGAAGGTAATAAAGCATGGCTGACAGCTAGCCAGGCACAGGGAGAAAATAACCCGGGAACAGTCATGAGCTGGCCTGCTGTGAGGCAAAGCAGAGCTCAAATTCGTTGCCCTTCCACCACTCGTACCAGGAGCCGACAGGAGGGTGCTTGTTAGTCCAAGACCTCATGCCTACAGAAATAGAAAAAGTGAAAGGGCAGGGAAGGAAGAAACAACCAGAACTGCAGTTGCTAATGTGGGGGCAGAGACGAAGAGCTGCAAAACAAGCTTCTGGAAGAAGTCAGATCCTGACGTGAAAGGAGTGTTTTAGGGAGGGGTTGTAGGGGTAAAATGGGAATTCTCATTTCCTCTGAGAGACTAACGGAGAGCCAAGCCTAACTGTTCTTCATACCCTCTAAGTGCAAAACCTGCCAATTCCTTAAATTTTCCTGTATTTATGGAATTGCAGTTTATAGGGAAACATTTGCAATATGGTTGCAAGGACAAACGAGAAATCAGGAATCTTCTGCAGAAGAAGAGCTAGTCTATTTTTGCGTTTCATAAAAAGAAAAGATTGAATGTACTACCAGGAGATAAAGAGGATAGTATTTACAAGCGTATTTGGCCACCTGTCTGTACATAAGTTTAATCCCGTGATTTATTAATAAGTATTTTCAGCGATAGTAACATATGCAGCTTTTGTGCTATGGAAACCACACAGAAGGCTGCAGCTCTGGCTTTTGTACTTGGCCAAGCTATACTGCAGAAAACTCATTTAGTATCACAGAACCATTTTGGCTGGGATCCTGAGTTACTCAGGGCTGGAGAAGTCTTTACAATTCCAATCTCGTTCGCCTATGGAACAGTAATTAATGATTAGCAGAGACAACAGCATTTGCATTTTTGTCGACAGAAGCTGTTTCAGTTCTCAGAGTTAATCCATCTTAAAAATGCAGTAACAACAGCATATATCCATATTTCTGTTCACTCACATTTCCAAACAAATTCCAGACTAAGACACTGTCCCTAATACACAAATGTAATGCATGCGCTGGTGTTCTGCTTTCTCTTGCCCTAAAACTCTATACGGTATTTCACCCATGAAGTTGTGCACCACACAAGATTCAGCCAAGGCTGCCAGCCAAGCAAGGCTCAGAATTTTAGTCCAGTGCAACAAGTATTCATTTTCTCTGCCAGAAGATGAAACTGTTAGCACAGGTAACTTGCCTATCTCTGTAAGCTACCTCTCCAGTCACTGTGGCGCATTGTGCCTATACTGCGAAGGGGCTCACTGCAAATTTGAGATAAACCTTACTATACGGAGGAGTGAAGAAACAAAAAAGAAGTGGCAAATCTGATCACCTGAGCAAGAAAGTGCCTTTTTTTTAATCGAACAAGAAAGCTGGCAATATCTCTGTTAAGCAAACATGCTACGACAATACAGCCTTGGTTCCTGAGAAATACATTGGCAATGCTGCAATCACAACTTGAGCAATTTGGAGACATCCTTACAGGGCTCCCACGGTCTCCTACAAAGATCATTTGCAAATACTTATGGCTAGGCAGAACTCCAAAGATCAAAAATGCACCTCACCTTGATTATGTTTATAAGTCCTGGGGATGAGTTATCTATGGCAGCACTAACTCAGCCATATCCAGAATGAAAATACTTCCAAATTGCCCTTTAGAGTTCTAACAGAATTCAAACTTCCAAAAGCCCTCATCTCCCTCTATCCCATTTTGTGTATGGGTCAGACCACTTCACACATAAATCAACTTCTCAGTGCAGCAGTGCAGCCATAGCCAGCTGCCAGCATAAAAAATATATAGATTTTTTAAAAAGCACACATTTGTGTGGGGGAGAAAATTCCTAGTTAGACAAATGCTCACTGCAAACACGGACTCTCCTATTTAATTAGTGAACCTGCATCCACACTGAGCACCTGACCTTGCCTCCTGCTGGCCTTACCCGGAATGGCGTGTTGATTCGGCTAGTGAGCGTGTCTAGGATGTGCACATTCTCATGTCGATGCAGCAAAATAAAACGGAGGAAAATCTTGAGGAGGGCTGGCTCTGAAACACTACGCAAGAAGAGATCCAGGTACGCAGTGGTAGCCATCACTTCTTCCACGGTAACCTACAGGAAAATAAAAGGCAAATGCAAACAAACTGTGCACACAACATCCATCCCCACCCTGCAACCGTACGATACCCAGCACCCACCCTAAGCTCTCCATACATTGCCACCAAAACACTGAGACCCTTGCTTTTAAACCTGTGAAGTAACGTGCTTCTGACTTTCTCATAAGCATTCGGAACCCATTTCTTATGTCTTGCTTCCCCAGAAGTAAAAACTCCCCCAACCTGCCAACACCCCAGATCTCATACATGCTGAAATACTATGAGCTAAATCCTGCTAGAAGTTCCCCACCACGTTTCTGCTATGTCAGGGGTTTTGAATCACACTTCTGCCGTTCCTCAGAAGCATTCTCAGATGTTGTGAATGCCTGGATATACCATGTTATGAAAAATAAATGACAACAGAGCAGAATCAAAGCACAGTACAAACTCATAGGTCCGGAGCTTTAAAAAATAAATTAAAAAAACAGAACATGCCTATCCACAATTTTGCCACTATTTTCCATCTCACTCAATTTTTAAAAGCTGTGTGTATACAGCCGTACACACACAAACCAAAGACTGAAGTGTTTGCTATTGCCTATTTGTATGTTGAAACACAATTGTCCCATATCCACGCGCTGCTTGCATACCATTTGGATAGCCCGTACTGCTCTGCTTAACGCAAGCCTTTTGGAGCTTATCTATTGACAGGATGCACTGGCAAGGCGCAGCGAATTCCAAAGGCCACCTCTGCACCACACATTGCTGTTGCAAAGTCAGCTTTTCAAAAATAGTTACCCAGGAACCCAATAAGCTTAAGTGTACAAAGATAAACCCTCATACACAAAAATCTCTCTGTATGAAAGAAAGTATTAAACATCTTTTGTTTACCAAACTTAGCTGGATAAATGAAAAGACCGATTTTATTAAAAAAAAAAAAAAAAGAATCAAAGCTGTCACTTAAGAACTAAGAGGATTTAGAAGCGACTCAGAAGGGCAGCACTTACGTAACACGCCGTAAATATTAAAATCCCTGTTCCATTCTGCCGCGCGTTAGCTACATGTACAGTAATGTCATCCAGCAAACGCTCCCTTTAAAGCATTTAAGATCACAAGCTGCTTCTGGCCAGTTACACAGAACATAGGAATGCTGTATACAGCCTGCAGACCTTATGGAGAGGGAGCACTGACGAGGAGAATGCAGAGTAGCTCTGAAGTTGAGGTCACTGCTTCCCTCTCTTTCTGAGGCTTTATTCTGATACTCTGCTCCAACATCCTTAACACCAAGCAGCAGACTACCAGCTCACTCATTTTGGTATTAGAAACAAAACAGCAGGGAAGCTGCAACAGTCAAATTTTTCACCAGAAATAAGCGAGTTCATTTCTCAGTTTATTTTGGTCAAAATCAAGCACTAAAACATACTAGTGAAAGGAAAGGAATACAGCACATTTTCACTGGCTCTATGAACTTCGTAAAGCTACGTAAACAACAGCCAGACAGGTTTGCTAGATCTGTAGTTGTACAGTCAGTGCTGCCCAGTACAGAAATGAGAAAAAAGATCTTCCCTGAACCAACATTGATTAACATACACTCCAACTCAGAATCCAGTTTATGAATTCATTCCTCTTCCTTCTCCTACAAATGTCAAGTGAAAAAACAAAAAAAAAAGTTGCGAGATCAAGCACCCCAAAGTTATAAATCACCAGGATTAACACTGTGGCTACAGCTCTGGTTCAAATTCTGCATTACTGTAAATATTATAATAAAATGCCTTTTTATGTGCATATGCACGTAGGCACACATTTCCACCGCGCTACCGCCACATCCCAACCACCATAAAATTTGCTCAGGAAATGAGCAAGGGGCTGTGCAACAAAGGAAATTGTTTCTGGTTGGAGCTGAGATTCGTTTTTTTGCAATAGCCAAAAGGTGTGGGAAGTTGTGGGGTAAAAAAAATAAACATAAATAAATAAATAAAAGACTTTCTGATTACAGCCGCTGACTGTTGCCCTGAGAACTGGCATTTTCTGTTTTGTGTTTTACAGCAGCAAACACTAAAAAGCAAACCCCAAGAAATCCATCATGTGACATCATAATGATAGCATACAGTTCATCAAAGGGTTTAAAACCTCTGCCAAGAAAAGGCCAGACAGAAGTAATATATTGTTATGTCTCTGTCACTCCTCCTTCATCCTTTATGAGGAAAATGAAGCACGCACTTGGCCTGCGGGTTTCACAGATGTTTGCTGACAGCAGAGGAATGGGCCTATGTAGATATATAAAGTACTGAAACTGTAAATGAAAGCAAGCAAAGGCTGCAGATTCACAAGGGCAGTGACCTTTTTCTGAAATCAATGCTCTTTGGGCAACTCGTGCTACATTTGTATCAGCAAGAGAAAGCCATGCGCTTTTCAGAGTGTGCATCATGAATGAAACAAAGGGCAGAAGAAAGCCAGCGAGAGACTACTTTAGGAAAGAAATGTTCAATTCTGAGAGCATGTTCAGCGTTCCTTGCAGCTTGGGGACTAAACAAAAAAGAAATCCTCTTTACTGTAGCCAACACCTCACTGACACCACTAAACAGAGCTAGAAGCACCAAATAGCGATTAAAGCAGCCCAAATAGGTCACAGAAGAGTTACTTATAACTTTGTTAAACCTCAATTGTTTGGATTGAGGTTTTTCGTGCAGTGTGCCACATCATGTTTAATTCTTAATTCTTCTTGGGAAGGATGGTGTTGAATCTGCTTAGCCATTTGCTGAGAAAGAGGGAAGGACAATCTTTTTGCATTTTCCAGTGAAAATGCACCACCTTCACCACAACACTCCTTCAAGCTTGTGCAATAAACGAGGCTAGGGTCTATCTCACAACTCCCCATAAAACGCTCAAGGCATGTAAGTTAAGGGTACACAAGTGACATTACTGCTACTTGTGCTGGGATTTCTCTCAGCGTACCTTTGCGCGCAACTTGTCCATAAAACTGGCACAGAGATGGCCCTTCTGCTTCCTTACAATAGCAAATCGAAATATATTGCTCTGTGGCATTTGAAACAAAAGCCATGTATACAGCTTAGGATCAATTAAGCTGGCAAGCAGATGTGTGCTTTTACAGTCACATCATATTTTCCCCATCTTGCATTCTGGGTATGCTTCTTGATTTTACTCTTCCTGACAATAAACGTAATTTCTGAAGATTTGAGACAGCAAAAGAAGGAAGTCAAAAAGGCTAATTTTAGCTCCTCGAGGCTAATTTCCTTTTACTCACTGGGATACACTAACCTGTCCTGAATGAGCCTCTAGGGAACTCACTCTCTTTTGCAATTAACTAAGGAAGGACTTTGGAGAAACCAGTCACACCAGGCAAAAATCAGCCTTGGCAAAGACCTTTTAACTCAGTAAAACTGTTCCACGTTGTACATAACACATTCAGTGCTGAAAGCAAGGCTGGTTCAATTTGTGCAGTTATTACTGAAGATCTCTGTTTTCTAAGACATGCAAACCATAATATTAAGCTTCATTCAGACTACCTGCTGTTGTTTCTCCTGAAACTAATGTCTTGTGAGACAGATTTGGGTAAAGTAGGAAAATCCTTTAAAAAAAAAAAAATAAATCCAAATCAGTATTTAGGTAAGCAACAAAAGAACAAATGTTCCTGGAGAACAAAACATTACTACACACATCAAGAATGTTCACTACAATCAAAACCTGAGGCAGCTTACAAAAAACTGTATTTCACTGTAAACATTGATTTCAGTATAATTCGTCCTAGCTAGCCCTCAGAGTGAATTTATGTGAACAGCTTTGAAAGGATGATAAGAAATGAGCCAAAACTTTCACATATCCACGAGTGTGACATTTAATCTGAATATTCCTCACCTCTGATAATTCAAGGATCAAGAAAAATACCATAATAAAGGCAGATGAATGAAGAGGTGGTAGTTTGCTGGAAGTCCTTTGCTAAGTAAGAAAATTTGGAGGTGTATTTTTGATAAAGGTATTTCAGCAGTATTAAAATCCATCACTGCTACAATAGCAAAAAATGAAAACCTACCAGCAGCATACTTTGCATTAGATCCTTTCTACCAAAATTGCTTGGGAATGGTAAAGACTGGGGATATCTCTGCTCTTGAGATAAAATTGTAGGATGGAAAATGAAAAATGAGAAAAATATGTATCCATTACATTACTCAGACAAGGATTCTGCCATTTCTATTTCCATTATCCATCGTTGTAATGACAAAAACTTACTGGAATTTTGAAAAATACACATATAAAGTATGTATCTAAAAGATGCCATCTGGAAGCCTCATCCACATGTTCTTCCTTACAACACCCAGTCGTTACAGATATTTTTGAAGATTACAGATACTTTTACAAGAGGGACTACCCGAGAGCCTTCATAGCCAGACAGATACTTGATCAGAGATTATTGAAAACAGAAAGCTACTTTTAGCATTTTAATACCCTTCTCTTATTATGTAATAATTTTTAGTAAATCTTTCCTTGCCTCTTCTGATGACTGATTAGATGGTGAGGCAGAACGCTGTAAAGAGATCCAGCTTTTACAAGTCACCGTGCCAAGTAATAGCAGAGAGCCAGAAATTACTGTCATTGCAAGTTCAGTTTAATATATTACACTGACTGTGTTAGACCAATTGCACTGATTCTTTATTACTGGCTATTCTCCCTTGGGATCTGCACTATATACTTTCTAATTTACAGCTTTGTGCCTTCTTACGAGAGTATGGCTTTCATGATTCCCCCTCTCCTTCCTACAAGGATTTCACACTGCCTATGAAGAGACCATGAACGTCCTCATTAGATCTTATCTTCTAGATCCATGAGCAGTTTAAACCTGAATAAATCCACCCCCCTGATTAAAAAGTAAAAAATAAAATTCAACCATTCCCACCCTCTTCTCCTTTCTATTCATTTTCAACTTCTTGCCCCCTGCTTGTACTGGCAGAAGTGTTCATGCTTCACTTCATTGCACACTGAATTGGCTCAGGGAATTGA